TTCAATTTTCTTTCTTTCTCCTTTGTTAGTTACCTCATGTACATTGTTCTGCCATGATACCTGCAAGACAAAATGAGACTGATTTTCAACTGAATATATTGCCACAGAAGCATATCACCTTCTGATTGCCATTTATGTGCTAAAAAACAGGAATTTCCCATCTGTAGTCACTTTGTCTTGAACTTTGTCAGTGATCTAGACATGTATACCCTAACTTTCCTGGCTGTGTTTAATATTCAATGTTAAAACAGCTTCATCAGCCACAAAGATTTACATGCAGGCAGTCAGCAGAGCCAAGACCCTTTACCCTATAATTATAAGTGTCTTTTTAGACATTTTAAGCTTATTGTGGCAAAGGCCCTTTAAGGAGAAAAGAGCTGCATGACCATTGCAAACTTAAGTCTCCTATGCTACTGTATCCTATCAGAGTTATCTTCCAATGCTGAGGATTGCGTGATGACCCAAATGAAGGTTGTATAAGAAACTATGTGGGCCAAAGCATCAAATTTGTCTGTACCGTTAACCCATTGACACCCGGGCTTTTTGACAAAAAATGCATTTTTTTAGGCATTTTTGAAATTTTCACCATGGATATGACCTAAGTTAGCTCCAATCTACTCAAAAAAAGCATTAATTTTGCAATCCTGAAAGCATGCCTTTCTTTCCACTACCATCACTTTTATGATATTTTTGCTCAGGCATGTGCACAAATCCAAATTTTGAAAGAAAGTGACCTACACCTTTAGGTTTTTAATATATTTTTTCACCTTTCCTTTTTATCCTCTTCTTATCTTTTAGCTACAGTTTTTGACCTTCTACTGGGATTGTTTCCAGTTCAAGAATTCCACAGAAGGCATCATCACGATGGGGAATTCTTAACATGGAGTGGCCCAGTGTAATTAAGGGAAATTTTGCTCCGAGTTTTTCTCTTTCTGAATTTTTTCTCAATTTTCTAGGCATATTCATGCATATTTCAGGCTCAATTGACCCAATCACTCTTATCTGGGTATCACTGGAAACATTGTTTCCTCCTGCAGATCTTGAGTGTAAGTGATGCCAATTTTGGTCAAAGGTGATCACCTCAGAAGCGGAGCGCTTGTCATGACCAGTTATGGCTGGCACAGGCACCAATGGGTTAATACAAGTGACTGGAGAGCAGTGCTGAGTGAAAGTAACATGTCTTGCCACAGAACATGATTTGCAACATGGCACTAGCTAACCCTGGATCGATTGATCAGCAGGAGTCTCACGTTTAAGGTGATTCCTCAGAATTGCATTGCATTGCATTGCACATCCCTACTTCGAATGATTTTAGCGTCATTAGAGCACACACAAGTGTGCACAAACACAACATCAAGAAATTTCCCTCAAGCTACATGTAAGCTCAACAGCAGAATAAATGCTTGTTTTCTTGTAAACCAGTATGGTGATCTATATTTTTTATTACATTATTGTGGTGTACAAATTATCTTCTGTTACTCAAGGATGCAAATTATGACCTTGAAAACAAAGCATGCAATTCCATAAATTATTTATTACATTGTACTGATATGCATGGGACTTTCTACCTATCAAGTCTCTCTTTAAAAAACTTTGCTTCCTGTGAGCGGATGAAATAAAGCACGTGATTAGGCATGGATGGGGTGCGATTGGCCCATCAAATCTCTTTTGAGAGCATGGCATTCAAACTATCTTTTTTTATTGTATTTTTCAAAACAGTGCTTGGTGGGGAATATTCAGGAAAGTTTCAAAAAAATAGTTCAACAACTTTTATTTCCAAGGAATCGCCTTGAGGGTTTGTAACTTTACCTGTAGTCATGGAAATTTAGATCCAACAACTATTCTACAGACCATGATACACCTCCAGCATGACATCCCATAGTCCCCCTGGGTGGCAGTACGATGGAATACAATGCATTTGATACTCAGGCCTGTGTCTGCATAGAGAACAAACAAATAAACAAAAACTTTGTGCATGGTTTAATATGGAATAACTCAAAACAGCCTTTCATGTCTGCAGGGGTTTCACTAATGTTCTCAGCAGGGTGGCAACTGGTTTAACAAGCAGGTAAAACTACAGTATTTGAACTGAACTTTCTGGTAGATGGCTAAGCCAGCTGGGCAAAATCATCCTCACAGCCGGTCATTTGCCCAGTGCCCAGCCCTTAATGAAAACCCTGTGTCTGGTGTCTTCAATAGCCACTTGGCTACTCGGAAGTGTATAACAAGTCTTATCAGTTCAAAAATACTAGTAATAAAAACAAAACAAATACATGTAGATTCCATAGCTAATCTTCTAGGCCAACCAGTGTACTGTACATGTATGTTGTTGCTCTGTTTGACAAACTAATATGTTAGTTGTACACTATATATGTATTGACCAGACAGGAGGTTCACATCAATTGGGAAATACTGGTCAGATTCTCTAGTGGCAAGTTCATACAACAATTTAAAAACATGTTCTATAAATTTGCACACTAAAGAACAAGACCCAAATGCACATACGTAGTTCAATATGATATGATATGATACAATACCATACAATACATGAATTTATATAGCGCTCATTTCCAGAGCTCAATGGCACTTTATAATGGTTGTAATTAAAATTAAAACCACTTCTACTAAAAATTACAATATCATCATACGAATTAAAACATGAAAAAGTTCCAGTAAAACAAAAATGTAACTAACGGTACCATTAGGGTTTAAAATGATTGAAGATCACAACTGCTACTACTTAAGGATGTTCACGCTAATTGTTTTTGCACATCCTTACTGCGCATGCAAATTCACATGCCACGTCGCAAATCTAGTGCACACTAAAAAAATTAATGAACAATGAGACGGCAGGTGGCCATTGCTATAGCTTTGCCTAGATTTAATGATCTTGGAAGTTCGGTGACCCCTATTTTTCTTTTGATGGATCATTTTCTCTACTGATTTTCTACATTTAGCGAAAAAATGAAGAAAAGCTATTGATTAGAAGTTTGAATTTTTTGTAAAATGTACCATCAAATTCCGTTCTTTTTAGCTCTTCATTTATCTGTGAGGCGGTTTCAAATGCCTTTCGAAGGGTTAAGTTTTGTGAAAACGTTGGCAACATTTGGAATTATTAACACCACAGATTCACTTATACAAAATATTGCTAGGATAGTTTGTCTCCATTGATTCATCTTTGATATTTTAAGCTAAAAACCCTGGAGACCATGCTGATTTACGCGCTCCAATTTTTCAAAATCAGACTAGTTTTCCACACGGTTTATCTCTGAAAGGAAGTCCGTGACTGCCAATTTTTTTTTTTCCATTTCTGAAACAAGTAATTCATTATCTGTCTGCAGTAGAAGTTTGAAGAAAATCTATTGAATAGAACATTTTTGCGTAAACGTCCTTAAAATTACAATTACAAAAACATTATTTAAGTTAAAGATAAAAAAATTCATTAAAACGAAGGCACACCCAACTGCACCAATTTAAACTAACAAGTTAATAAATATTTGCCTCTGTTAAGATTTGGTGGAGGGGTGCTCTAATGCTTAGCACAGTGGATTCCAGATTGAGTGATCTGTGTTTGAGCCTTGGTCGGGGTCACTGAGTTGTATTCTCGGGCAAGACCCTTTACTCTCACAGTGTCTCTCTCCATCCAGGTCAATAAATGAGTACTGGCAAATTGAATGCTGGAGGGTAACCCTTCAATGGACTAGCATCCCTTCTATAGGGGAGTAGAAATGGCTTAATTCTAAAGGAACTGGTATAAACTCTGACTGGGCTGATTCACCTAATTCATATTTTAACTCTTACATGTAAAATGAATCAATAGTGTAAAATTATTAGTAAGACGTCTATTCTCGGCAAATTATACATATACATGTACACCCAGCATGGTCCATACAAACTTTAGACCTTTTCATTTCAAAGATTTTTCAAAGATTTTTCAACAGGCCAACCAGTGTACTGTATGCTCTTGTTCTGTTTGACAAACTAATATGCTAGTTGTACACTATAAACAATGTATGTCTTGCCCAGGCAGGAGGTCCACATTGGGGAAATACTGGTCAGATTTTTCTAGTGGCAAGTTCATATGTCAAGTCAAAAACATGATCTATAAATTTGCACACAAGAACCTAAAATTATGTGCATACATAGTTCAATTTCAACTATAATTTAATGAAAATATTTGTCCCTGTTGAGATTTGGTAGAGGAGGGGTGCTCTAATGCTTAGTGCAGTGGATTCCAGATTTCATGTTTGAGCCTTGGTCAGGGTCACTGAGTTGTGTTCTTGGGCAAGACACTTTACTCTCACAGTGCCTCTCTCCACCCAGGTGCATAAATGGGTACTGGCAAATTGAATGCTGGAGGGTAGCCCTGCAATGAACTAGCATCCCTCCCACAGGGAAGTAGAAATGGCTTAATTCTAAAGGAACTGGTATAAACTCCGACTGGGCTGATTCAGCTAATGCATATTTTATCTCTTACAATTAATCGGTAGTGTAAAATTATTAGTAAGACATCTATTCTCAGGAAATTATACATGTACACACAGCATGGTCCACACAGACTTCCCTCTATCAGATGTGCCTGTAGGAAATCATGGTAGTTGAATGTATTCATCATCTCACAGACTGCATAATAATGTTTTGGTGAATAAAACTACCATGATTCCATGCAGGCAGCACACATCTGATACAGAGGAAGTTGGCATTAGCAAAAGTATTAACCGGATTTGAAAAAAGCTCAAACGCAAAGGGGTGGCCCTGTGAAAAGACAAAAATAGGGGGTCTGTGGACTTCTATGAAGATGATGACATGGGTGAGAAGACTAAAAAGCATCCTTTTTTTACAAAGAAGTCCACAGACATTTAATTTTTTTACCAACTTCACAGCTACTCTTGCACTCTGTGCTCACATCACTCTCACGCTTGAAGAAAAATAATTTGTATTATAAACAAGCTTGGTCAATAAAGGATTAAATTTTATTATATGGCTTTCGGAGAAATTTTTCTTGCGGGACACAGCGGGTAGTCCCGAGCAGGCAAGATAGCTCCATCTTACCCGCTCGGGTAGCCAATCACAGCGCAGGATTTAATTCATCTTGCCCGCTCAAGGAGCAAGCCATATAATAAACAATAATCATGTCAAGGACACTCAAGGTCACAGGTAATCATGTCACAAATGACTGAGGTGCATGATTTCTAAGGGTAATCATGTGAAGTTTACGCGCTTTGTGTTGCTTGCCATCAGTAAAGAAGCACAAACATGACTTCCATTTTTTGTTTCGTTCAATGTATAATAAAACAATAATTATTATTAGATTCGGTTTTTGTGACATCCAGAATAATCAAGGTCTCAGCAAGGGTTATCAGCCTCAGCCTTCAGCTTTAGCCGATAACCCCTACCTCAGCTTAATTGATTATTCTGGATATCACAAACCTCATCCAATAATTGTTTATAAAAAAAATAAACATCTGTGGACAGACTAGTCAGAATAATTACGACAGGTCTCCATAGCTTTACAAGTTAATAGTACTACTACAAGGTAAGTTACCTTTACCAGTCTAAACTGGTTGGAAGAGACATCTACATACACATCTACGTACATGTATACATTGTACGTGAAGTTTACAACTTCTACTAGGAATGAAATTCACTTCGCCAAGTCAGATTAATGAACAACCCTACAGAAAGGTATTATTTACTTAAGACACTCAAGCTTACTTCTGTAAAAATTCCCTCGCCGGCGAAATGCTTTCATCTTTCAAATTTGGCGGGCAACCATTTGTATCAACACTCTGAGATTCGAAGTCCATTTCTACGGTTTCTTCGTCTCCGTCTGGTATGTGACATTCTAAATTATTTTGCAGTAAAGAATCAGCTCCAATGCAGTTTCCATCATGATCATTACTTGTGCATATACCGCCATTGTTGACGTTCGAGACGTGATTAATTGTGCACATTTCTTGTGTGTTTGCGTCACCGATGGAGTCTGAGTAGTCGGAAAATCGCTGTCTTTTCTGCGAAAAAGAAGCAAGAAAAATGGAAATGCGTTAGAGTAAGATATACTGGCCTTAGCTTTTAGGTAGTAAATGAAAGATAAACTTCGAAACAGAACGAAAAAACTACAAAATTCAGTCGATCGTGACTCCGACGTTGGAAGTTGAAGGTCAACCAGCCGCAATCAAATATCTGGTAAACAACATTTCTACAGTTTTCACATATCAAAATTTTCGAAATCAAACGAGCCTACCTCGCTCTTAAGACTACAATCGTGATCTTGGAATCTCATGTCGTGGTCTTCTGTAGCCGAGAAGCCATTTCTCCCAGCGACTTCGAGCTTTCTTTTCAAACAGTTGTTTGCAAACATTTGTTCCCGTCCGGCGCTCAAAAGCTGCCCTGAAATCGCAAATTCCGAGGACATTACTTGATCTATACCAAGCTACCCAGGGGAGCAGCTTTATAAAGTGATTTTAAGCTACGACACGGTCAGTCTCGCAGTTAAAATCGGTTACCGTATTAAATAAACAGCGTGGTTTTGAAGAATGAATGGACCAGTGATTTCCCGCCATTAGTATTCGCGAAATGTCCGTTACTTTCTGTTCCCCAGTTTTCTCTCCACAAAATTACCACCAGCGCACCCCTCCCCACTTAGTTTTCACTTATCATACTAGTCCGGAATCCTTTTCATTTAGTCCTGTATTTTTGACTGAACATAGACCTGGCTATTTCTCAGCAACTAAAATTTTTGTTTTCTCGCGAAGTCAAAGTCGTTTTAAAATCAGTTTCTAACGCGAAAGTTTAATGACACCCCAGCCCACCGGGCTTTTACATGGTTGCTAACCTCCCTCCCCCTATATTTATCGCACAATCGGAGGAAGGTCACGAACATTCGTATTTCTCGACTCTTTCAGTAATTCTTGGGTCATTATCATCGAGTTGAAGGTTAGTAATGCTACGTTAAACTTAAGATCCTTTGTAATGAACAAGAAATGAGATGAAACATTTATGGAAATTATGCACTTTTAAAAAAGGTTAGTTTATTCAGTATTCAGAAGCCAATTCTTGACGAATTATGCTACCAAACCTGTTTATACCAAGTACCAGCTATGTATTTATCCAATTCTCGCTACATTCCGTTTGCTTTCTGTTTTCTTTACCGTTGTGTTAATTCATAAAATATTCACTGGGTATTTCGTGCAAAAATTTAAAATAAGTGGGCTCGAGTTGACTTTCATCGCCCCGCCGAAGGTCTCATGCATCTTGGGAACGTGTTGCAAGCTATCATGATCAAAGACAGCAGGAAGAC